TTGCTATTTTTCTTTATTTACGGTGCTCGTATCTGTTACAGTGTTGATACTCCTGGTTGTCTGTTGATCCCCACGAATTTGGCAAATTTCCCAGGGTGATGAGAATTTATTAACTTGATGTAGAGTTGATGGGACAACATCCATGTCATGGATCCAAGGTCTCCCCATGATCATATTGTAAGCCATTTCCATATCTACTACCTGAAATTTAGTTTCTTTAACAACACCTGCAACAAAAGTTATTAGAATTACCTCTCCTTTTATTACCACACTTAAATTGTCGAACCCGGATAGGGTATGCGCCTTAGGTATCATTTTGTCTTCAGCTTGCATTTCACGTAATACCCTTAATAGTATAATATTCACGGAACTTCCTGGATCAATCAAAACTCGTTTTACATTAGTATCATATACAAGTAAAGATATTACCAGTGCGTCATTATGTGGGGTCATTACTCCTTCGGTATCTGCATCATCGAAAGAAATACTTTTGTTTTCTAAAACCTGTCGTACCCGTTTCCCGTGTGTTATCGTTACTTTAGAAACCTTGTTGGACGCCGTATATGTTACACCGTGAATATCTTCTCCCCCACTTATAACATTCACGGTTCTCTTGGGTGAAGGGGGCTTTGGTGGCTCCTGCCTATTTTTCATATAGGCTTGCTTACCTTTCTCACTAATAACTCAGTGACATACCCTTGTTTCAATAGATAATCCACTTCACTTTGTAAGAATCTACATTCTGAAGTTTTGTGCCCGTGATCATTGTGGAATTCGCACCAATGGTCTGGATTGCGTCTATTTAGATTTGACCGCATCTCTTTTGGCCATCGTACCTTATCTCCCATGCTCCTCAAAACAGCTACGATCTCGGAGGTAGTGACATTAAAGTTATATCCGCCGAACCTTGCTTTTAAACTTCTGTCATTATCTCATGACTCTTGTCTGTTTCGGTCATTTCTGAACCTTGATGAAGAACCATATTTCCTGTTCCTCGATTTTTGATCATATCGTTGACTATCCTGCTTTGACCGTGAGTCTTTCCCTGTAGGTCCCATTTATGGATCATACCTGTTTTTACCTGATCTTTTTTCGGTTTCTGATCACCTGGAATTGCTCCTTTCTTCATGACGAAACTGAGGTACGATATCTTCCTCAATTCGCAACTTCGTACTATACCTGTTATAAACGTCATTCCACGTGGTTGCATGAAACTCTCGAAGGCTTTCTTTAAGTCTTCTCGTGGCTTCTGAGCTTTTGTCATTTAAGTTGCTTGCAAAAGCTATTGCAGCCTAGTTACCAGGTACACGAGGTAAAGTGATTCTTTCACGTTGGAATCTATCAACAAAATCCCTGAGCAACTCGGAGTCCCCTTGCTTGATTTTGAAAGTATCCTCCATTCTTTTCTCAACCTTTTGAGCTCCCGAGTGTGCTTTAATAAAAGAATCTGCAAGCTCAGCAAAAGAATTAATAGAATTTTCGGGTAAAAGAGAATACCAGGTTAATGCGCCCTTGGTGAGTGTTTCTCCAAATTTCTTGACCAGTACTGATTCAATTTCTTGTTTGGTCAAGTCATTGCCTTTCACGCCTGTTGTAAATGCAGTTACGTGATCACGTGGGTCTGTTGTGCCATCATATTTCGAGA